GATAAATCTTATCACAGAAGTATCGCGATAGGATTTTCAAAAAGAGATGCAAGATCCGATTCAATCCGATATAACCAACGGACCGGAAAGACACGACACGCATTTCAATTCATTGGCCGAGCCCGCTCTATCACGAACAGAACGCTCTTCTCGGCAATGGATCGAGCGGTTAGTCTCGTTCGCGATGAAGAAATGCTCGCTGCTCGCGAGATTCGCGTTCGATCTAGCGTAAAGCGCGATACCGATTGGACAGTTAATATCTCACTTCGGTGGCACGGCACTCGGCTGACTTGGCTCGACGTGTCTCGGCTCGCGCGCGAAGGATTGGAAAGGTGGGTTTATGTATTTATTTCTCGACCGCGCGGGTCTCTCTCTCGCGTGATGTATGAACGTATATGTGGGAGCAAGTCGTTACGTCAGCCTCCAAGCGGTACGGAGCTGCACAGCGCTAGACCAGCGGCGCAGCTGTCCCGTTCCCCGATCCTGCAAAATGCTTTACACGCGAATTCGTGTAAAGTGCCGGTTGTGTTGTCGTGAACACCGTCTCGTGGCACCCTCTCCTCTTTCGCGAACAACGCGAATTCTCAGGGACCGCCGGGACGAGGAGTCGCGGCGAGAAGTCACGGCGCATTCATCACCGCCGTCGCGGAAAGGTGTTAGCGTTTAGTCCATTATTATTCCGCGTTGTACCGTGTTTCGAAAGTGATACCGCATTGTACTACGTTTTTACTCGTGTCTTCGCTCGCGAATGAAAATGAAACAAATGCGCTTAGTAACGAGAATCAATGGAGCCTTCGAATAACGAGAAGTCGATTTACCTCGCTGGTATTTCGCGCGAGATTGTGTTCTATCTTTTTTTTATGCGAGTTGTATCATTTTTACTTGGCGGTATAATACAATGTTTAGGTTATGTGTAACGTGACAAATAAATTTACATAATATGTGATTGCAAAGATAAAATTATTCTCGTTTGCGCACTGTATTGCAAATATTATTGTATGTTTTGTATAGGAGATTCATCATCACGTTCGTATAGAAGATTCATTAGACGACAATGACGCGCCCACAGGTTGTCCGTCGAGCATCGGTTCCTCCAACAAAGCGGCATACGTCACGATAATGAGACAGCTGCCCTTTTCCCAAGCGAATCGTCATTTCGCGGGTAGTAAAGCCTACGCGACATCGTGCCGTTAATGGCGGCAACGTCAAAAGTACGAAAGCATTCGCGCGTTCTTCAGCGAGGTCGCGTAGAACAGGAAGGTAGACCATGAAGTAATGATAAGGCGGTAAATCGTTCAACTGTCTTGTATGTAATTGTTCGAACAATCACCGCGGCGAATGGCTTGATCGGAAGCTCGATCGAGACTGAAACAAACAATAGTTAACGAGAAACGGTTGATAATTCGCAGTTACGTCGTTCTATATCTGAGTTAATAAGATATACTCGGTATGTGTCTACCAATCTGATCTCAACTAAAAGAGATCAATATCAATATCTGTAAATCTTCATTTCCAATTCCCGTTGATTATAATCTCTCTCTGATTTACCATTATCGATTCTGATTTATCGGACTTTACGAACTTCCATATATTTTCCAGTCAAAAGTCTACAAACACGCTTAGGAATCTATTGGTACGTCATGATACTTTCAAATATATATTCCTACGACTATGTATTATACGGTAGTCAACGTCAGTGACTTAAATTCAAACAGGCACTTTCAGTGCTGCCTCAGTTTGTGGCGCGATCATCCGTATACTCCTAAACCGCGGAATGCAGACGAACTCCGGCGGTTTTGCGTCGTGTTCTCGTGAAGAGAACTTTGCTCTTCTGTCATAACCTCTTCACTGTTAGATATCACAGAAGCAATGATAATCCAATTCCTTGAGTTAAATAACTTTCTGTTATTTTTAACTTCCGTGTGTCTGCGAAATGTAAATCAATCCATTTCTGTGGTTGAATTGCTCAGTTTCAAACCAACATCCATATTAATGCAACATGCATTTAATAAATAATAAACTAAATTCGACTCAAATTTAATATATTTTTTTAGTTAAGGTGATCATGGAAACATCTAATTTCTTTTAACAAATTATAAATGGGCCTTTAGGAATCGGCGCTGAATTGCGCGTTTATGTCGATTGATCTAAAACAATCCTCTATAAATAATATATTTGTCGAACGTTTCGGCTAACTTCTAGCCTTCATCAGCAAATGTATTACATAAAATCCATAAAAACTTTCATCCTGTAATTACACTTCGATATCAAATTTCCCATAGTTAATAAGCTGGATGGTCAACGATATTTGACCTCAGAAGTACATCAAATACAAATTAGTCCTAAACCATAGTTGTTGTAACGCAAATTCTTTTTCTCGTGAATTAAAATTTAAGACAAAACGATGATAATTAAATAAATATAATATATATTGTATAAGTCGATAATGTTCGTGTTGCGATGTCATCGTCGTAATGTTAAATTTTCTAATCTTATTTTATCGTAAATATTCTAATTTCTTTATATTATATAATGAAGTTGAAGAACCTTGACGTGTGCAAAATTCTAGGTTAACGATGAAATGAAAAAGAAAAGAAATGTTGAAAACGTAATTTTTAACTTAACTACAAGTTACTTAAATATAACTTTTAACGTAAAACTTAGTGACAGGGAAGAATCGGAGAAAACGCTTTGACTAACTGTACACAGATATTACCAGACTTCTTTAAAAAACTTTAAGAAATTAATAATGGTTAAAAAAATTACGATTGTAATGGTCATAAAGATGTAATAGGTCAACAGCCATTCTGACACGATATTTAATGCATAAAATTGCATACAGATTTAAATTGTTCGAACAATTCCATTGTTTTAATTAAAGTAACAACATATTAAATAGGAGTAACGACAATCTATAGAAATTATTAAAAATAACTCAAATGGATATCATTTAACGTTATAAAAATAGTGTTTCGCCAATTCAATTCAATCTCTTCGCGTAAACAACAGTAGAGAAATCCAAAAATTATAAGACAAAATAATAATAAAAATAGAAGGTTAAAAACGATTAGAATTAAGATTTATCGATTAAAGGATTAGTAATATTTATTAGCCTGAGAGATATATGTCATCAGATAACTTGCCGCGGAATCTACGGTTCAGAGAGTTATCGATGGTGCTGTAGATCGATTTTGATCGAGGAGAATTTCGAAAGAGTTCGGGGGACTAGTACAAACACACGTGCGCGTGTAGAAATATCGGAGAAAATAATGGACGAGAAAAGAAGAGGAGAAACTATGTATTAGAGGAAGGTAGAAGATGGAGAACATAAGAAGTCGGGGATTCACGGATCGTTCGTGTTGTGATAGGCCGCGATTCTTGGTTACAATAAGAGCATTAGATGATCTCAACGAGGAGAGAGAGAGAGAGAGAGAGAGGAAAAGATGGAGGAAGAGCGGAAGGGAGAGAGCGACGGAAAGAAAAAAAGTCAATCGGGCCCGTCCATTACCATACGTTATTGGCTGGGCTTCGAGCCGGCCAGCAGTGGTGTGTGTTTGCCATAACTTCAGATAAATAAACCTCAGGGCCAGATAAATCTGTGTACGCGAATCGCGGCATGTATAATGCAAATGCAATCATGTCCGCGGACCGCGGTGCCGCGGATGTTAAAACTCGGACACGCGGGCCCGTAAGAGTCTCGGTGTGCCTGTAAAGGGCACGCAAGACTCAGGAGAGCCCCCACGAATTTACAGCGCGTACCGCGCCGGCAACAGCCTTAAAACTTCAAGGCGAGGGTTAGCGGGACCGTTTACGGCGGATGGGGCACGACGGGTAATTAAGATAAGGGAACCTTGCTTCTCGCGGCAAAATATATCGGCCGTAATTATTTCGAGTATGCTGCCCTTTCTGAATTTACAGTAATGTCGTCCGAGCGTTCACAGCGAAATAAATGAAGCGATTTAAAGACGCGTGCACGGACGTAACCTATCTTTATCACATGCGTGTAACTTTTCTCGTATAGAAACACTTGCGAAAACTATCCAATTTAAAGTCTAATTGTTTTATTGTAGCGACGTTTTATGACGTTTATATAATCTCGTACACATGCATGTAGAGATATATACTATCCTTTCAAATTCAGATTAAACACTATTTCGTCTCTAATAGTAACTCACTGATCGTCTCTGACGATAAATTGCATAAGGATCGACATTACGCAATTTTCACAACAGGACCGTTAATAAGCAGGGTTTGACTGGCGTGATTAAGACAAATCAATGGCAATTCAGTGACGATGGATATAGAAATGAACTACGACAAGCGTTGCAGCCGCTAGAAATAAGAGCGAAACATAGAACGCTGACTAGTATGAGTAGCTCTCGATCGAATCGGTCGGTCCGAACAATTTATGGTTAATTATCAGCCGTAATCGACCAACGTGACGAGGGTCGGAGCAACGTGTTTTCGATTACGCGGTTAAACGAGAACCCGTATTGTGTAACAAACAACACGAATGCAGCAGCGGCGCGGGTGGCAGCAACGATCTCTGCGATTTCTCGGATAGGCACATCCACGGTGAACCGTATTGACCTCTTCGCCTCCTCAGGCTCTCGCTTTTATGGTACAATTTTAACGATGACTCTCGGAATTGAGGTTGAGACCCGCGAATCAACTGATTTCAAACGTTGCTCGCTCTCGCCTTCTATCTAGCGACTCTAGCGTGAGAATCAACGAAAGTGAATCAGCGCAGCGACGTGACATTTATCTTGCGTCAACGTGCGCGAAAACGCGCCGCCTAGCCCATTTCAGATTCCTCGGCTCGTCGCCATCTATCATAAACGCGACGACAGAATTACGGTGAAATTAATTACTGCGTATGTAATTTTATTTACATTAACGCGTATTCTATATAGTAATTCATATACGGAAAGAACGGTTTTGATAAAGTATCTACAAATTTAGTTAGACAGAGATCTGAAAATAACATAGTTCAGACTATCAAAATAATGTATGTAGGACGTTTAAACTGGTTGATAGAATGTTAACACCTTTTTCAGCATTAGCATCAACGCCTAAGCGTTCTACATAATTACTTTGACGATCTAACAGAATTATTTCCAGATCTGTGTATCGAGCTAAATTGTTGAATCTTTCAGAGAGAAAAAACGGTTCTTTTCGTGCATATATTCTTTCACATCTCATGTTCGTCTTGCATGAGTCGTTCCAAGCTCCAAGTCTTTCACTCCAATCCAACCAGCACTGAGTAATCTTTTTTGTTTAAAAAATTCACTATCGATTGCTACAATTTACCATAGTTTTTGTCTATCCTGTTGCATACTTGTAGCCAAATCATTACGTTACATTGTCGAAACGTATGCTACAGTCTTGTTAATGATATATCAATCCTGATCGGTGTCATGATTTTGTATGCATGAACCTACGCCATAATGATGATAGTAATGATCGTGCTAATGCGCATAATTAAGTACCGCGTTGTTGGCGATAAGACGTGATTCTCGTGTATTTAGATTAGCCTTCTCTAGCGGTTTGATCCGCTCGCTCGGATCAATATAAACGATCGCGGTCGATCATCCTTTACATATACTCGCCGATGAACATCGCGCGATAACGGAAATGTGTGCCGTTACTTATTCGGCAGTATAACATTCTTTTCCGCTGATTCCTTACTGCTGTTTATACCCCTTTTGAATTTTTGTCTGATTCGTCTTATCTCGGCGTGCATTTTACCAATCTTCTCGTTTTCGGCGATTTCTACGATTACCAATGTTTTCGTTACAGACGTATTATTTGCGTCATTGAAATCGAAAAGTAGGAGAGATCACTATGGAACATGGGCGGACATGCGAGAGCATAAGATGCCGATGTTCCCTTATCTCCCTCGACTATCTCCCGCACTGTATGAGAGATGATCCCCCCCGAAGAGCGGAACGTTTCTTCGATTACGCGTTTTTATCGTCGCCTCTATGGAACTGTTTCATTACCGCGGCACGGACGTATTCAGATGCTCCTTTCATCGTTAATTTTTACACTCGCGGCAAAAGTAGGCGATGCCAAAGGTTATCCCGTTCAGCCCGACGCAAAAGCTTTTCTTCCACCGCTACTCTCGAACGATTCACATTCCTACTCGAGTTCAATTAAAGACGTTCTTTGAAAATTTTCGCTGGTGCACCAACGCGTATCACGTACGGCGTGAAATCGTCGATAATTTTTAGTTGTCATGTATAAATTTCTGTTAAACGAGCATTCCATGAATCGTGACAATAAATCAACGCTCAGACTGTATAAGATCAAAGTGCCATTCAACTAATGACATCGATTATCAGTTTTACGACTCAGCGCGAAAAAAAAAGGAAGGAAAAATATATTCGTCGCATACTTTTATTAAGCCTTAGGCAAACGGATAATTATAACATTATTGATTAAATCGCGATTCATGAACTTGAAAAGCGTTTTATTACGTGGAAACTCTCTCCTGCGATCTGTCGACGTAGATCATTAATGTGAGATTCTATCTTATGCGCTCGATGTGCTTACCGTCACTCTGCGTTAATTAAGTGTATCAATAGCAGCACTAATGATCTCTATCAATGTAAAAGAAATTGAATAGAGTTATGAAGACCGAGTTTATTCGCAATTAGGAGATAACAGAATATTTATAATATTTACAACGTTAATTAAGCTTTTGTAAGCATTTAAGCATAATTAAAACCTCGTTTATCCCTATTATGATTAATGCAAATGCATTTCACATTTGGATTTCATACTTTATTTGTAAGAGATCTTGTCTTTCCACATAAAGAAAAATTGCAATCGTTTATTTTAATGAATCACTATTCAATCTATCTAATGTATATTTCTCTCATAAAAACATTTATTTCTAATTATTAACGTTAAATACCTTTTGAAGACCAATGACGTGCTTTATGTAATTAATCGACAGTAATTGGTAGTAACGAAAGAACGCTTACCTGAAACAAATGAAAAAACACTCATTAGATAAAAACATCATAAAATTATCTTCGCATGTTTCGTAGAATATTTTGTAACAAAAAAATTAATTAAGAATGTAAAGTATGTACTGTTTTTGTAAAAATAGTTATTTAAATGTGTAGTTAAAAGCTATACTTATAATCAAATATTTCCAAGTGACGTGCATTTTTTTCATAATCCTAAATAACAAAATAGATTACAGTGGAAAGAAGGAATCAAATGGATTCTAGGATAAATTTTTTCTGCGTAACTAAAGAATGAACTCTCGAACCGTCGATGTAATATTATACGTCGCTGCTAAGACCAAGAATGTTCCGGCATTGCATCCTCGATGTTCGTTTGATCAAGTACAATTCTAATCAAAGCATTGCACAAAGAATTCCAACGAAAGAATGCTCCTCTCGGAGTATTGAACAATTCCACAAATGTGCGTCACTCGTCATTGTATTTGAGAATATAATGTTTCTTCCTTTCTCTTTTCCAAACGTGATTTTTTTACTTTAGAATTGTCCTCTAAACATTTAAGGATATTTATACAATTTTATTTAATTTTCAAAGTTTCTCATTAAATTTGCAAATAAGTATTACAAAACGCGATTTTCTATGAGTCAAAACAAACAAAAAAATTAAATAATTTTTAAACCAATAAGAGAAAGAAAAATGCTCAAAAGAATTATATTCAGATATTCAAACGTATAATAGATCTATGAAATATGTATAGTTTTTGAACGTGACATATACATACTTAAGGAACGATTACTACAAGATATTAAACTATCGATATCGTTTTCAGCATGACGTTTATCTTATCCGTAACACAATTATCCGCAACAATCTCAGTAATCGGAGACACCTCAGTTAATCGGAGACAATATAATAGCTCCATCAAAGCAAGAATTAAAGTGATAGTTGCTGCATACCCTTAGTAAATCAGTTTCGCTTCACTTCGACCGCTTGCCGAGCCGAACTCGCCATTAGTTTTACGAATCGCGATCGTATCGTCGCATTACTTAACATACTCGAACGTTAATTCGATGATTTCGAAGCACGTTATCCCGTGGCACTGCTTTAATCGCTCTCTGCTCATGTTACCCTTCTTTTCCTCTGTACTACAAGCCAGTTTAATCCCTGTTCCATTAATTATGCGAAACAAATTATGATTTATTGCCTGATGAATTTCTTCTTCATTCTCTTAGAAAGCTTCGAGAAGTAACTGTCACTTATGCAGATCAATTTTTCTTTTAAATGATTAACATAGAAATGTTACAGGAACAAAACGCCAAGAAGCGTTTGGAGAAAAATAGAATCTCAATAATCATACATTCGCGTGGTTCGTACAGCATGCGCTACGGGAGACGATTAACAAAATAAGATTGTAACATATAACTGGTGGAAGGTACGTGTATACTATTCTCGCATGTAATAACCGAGGATGGCGTACATAAACAGCGAGTCGCGGCTTCGCCACAGCTGCAAGCTGCCATGCCGGTGTCGCGTCGGTCGTACGTCGACGCGGTGATTAAAAATGCATACGCACTCTGCATGCAGATCACCGCGGGTCGTTGCGATACCGAATAACGACAGCGCGGCGCGTCCCCAGGAACGGAGAGCCCCCGGCGCGATTAATGCCGATTAAAAAGGCAAAATGCACCGCCTCCGATCATTATGCTCTCCGATGGAAAGAGCCCGACGGCGCTAGCAATTCCGCTCCAAAGTAAGGTAGCTGTGTGCCTTTTCATTTCCCCCTTCCTCTCTCATCCACTCCCTGCCCTCTTCCCTCTTTCACCTTGCGAGAATATCTCTTCGGCTTCTCCCCGTGGATCCCGATCCCGAGGCAGCCGTCGCGGGCCCTTCGGGGGCAAGTAATTACTTCTAGTCCGGCGCTGAGCTTCGCCGGCGGTTCGATAGCCAAACTTATAATTTAATGGTTAATTATATAAGGAGTCCCCCGCGATTCGGCGGAGCCACTGGGCGGACACGATGACGTGCAGGAATGCTTGCTGCCGCCTGCCTCCTCCCGATCGCATACGGGACTCGTTTTCCAAGCTTCCCGTCCCTTCATCCTCGAATGCGATCTCGCTCGAGATTCATGCGTCCACGACAGAATTTAATATCGATTAAAAGGGACTCGTATATCGATTGCGGAGAGCGGACTCGTAGGTCTATCGAAATAGTCTTTCAAACTTTTGTTTCTCCTGAATTGCATTTATATGTATAAATAAATCTTTTGTTTTTAATAAAATAAAATGGTTTTAATAAAATAGTTTCAATAAAGTAAAATGATAAATAAAATTCTAGATCACATGCTATAGGAACTTGATTACGAAATGTAATAAAACAATACAATGAAAATTATACGATGGTTTATATCAATCTCGCTTATTCTATATTGCTATGATTAATTTTTGAGCATGATTAAAAAATGTAGTGATTTCGTCCCGATTGATCTCTTTTGCTAAACTCGATATCGTTCGCCTCACTGAATCTAGTTATGTTGGTCTATAGATTAAATTTTAAAGCAGCAAACTTGAAATACGTATTTTGGAAAAAATAAATACTCGTTAAATAAAGCAATTTTCGATGTAACTAATTTAAAGTTACGCAAAAATTACGTTAGTATTAATATTAATGCAATTTTAATAAAAGAACATTCATACATTAATTAGCATAAAACTTAAAACAGCATATAACATAATTGTTAATTTCGTAATAGGATATTTTAAAATGTATATATGCTTTAAAATTGATACATAGTATATTTTTTTAATCAACGAACTACAGGCACATGGCTAGAAATCGATGTAGCCTTATTATTTCTAACCACTGCTTAGTATGTAAAGTTGTTCGCTCATTCGTTATAAATATTGATAACTACGTGGATGATGCTTTGAATGTTGCGCATGAATCCATTAAGTATTCGTGTGTAACGTTTGACACGAAATGCTCCACAAGTCAATATATCGTAACAAATTTCTGCATTAATATAAACGTAAATGCGATA